TACAAGAATATTAAAACCTGTACTTCAAAGACAAAAGTTTGTATTTGATAGCCAACATTTACGAATTAGTCTTCTGTTCCTGAAAAAAACTTTAAAGTTGTTTTAGTTGACATTTCAATAATTTAACCTACCGTAATTCATCATGCATAATACACATTTTTTTCTAAAAAATAAGCAAAATCAGCTACAAAAAATCTTTAAAAAATTGACGTAAAATAAAATAAGAATTATCATAAAACTAAATTAGAATGTTTAAAACCATTTTTTTAAAGAATAGGGAACGCTAGTCGTAATGAAATCAGAGAGGTACAATTTTTAGGGTTTGATTACCAAACAAGGGATGCGTACTATGCATGAGTAGAAGCATTTTCCCCACACTTTCAGCACAATTTTATGAATGCGTATTATGGATGAAGGCGTATTATGTATGGAGAATTACAGTAAAAGAAAATTAAAAAGAAATAACCACAGTTCTTGTTTGCTAGTCGAATATGGATTGCTTAAAAGTACTTTCTTCAGAGTTACTCTCCTGGGTGTCTTCACCTATCCCAGGACCCCACGACTGTAGTGGGAGTGAGTTACAAACCTGTTGGAAATGCCTCGGAGAGAAGGCCATCAACAACGCTCTGGAAGCTTCAGCCACTTTTAATAACGTTCTATTTTTCTACCTTGGTTATATTGTTAATATTCAATTATAATATACACTGCAAACTTTATAGTGATTCTGTGTTTAAGGTTTGTAAAAGGAACAAATGTGTTGGAAGATCTTTCTGAAAGAACTTGAACATAATAAAAATCATAATGAAAGCCATCAACATTACTTGTCCCAATGGACAAATCGGCGTTTGTGTCTGACAAGAAAAGTGACCATAGATATAAAAGAAATAAAGTTACCTCGAAAGCAAGAACTGTGGTCAGCGATATTTTTTGTGGGGGAGGGGATGACGTAGAAGCAAAACATACACAAGAATGCCTTCCTTTTATTTTATAACAATACTAATATTATTTCACCAATATTAAAAATTATTAAATTTTTCAGCGTGCCAACGTCGCTACCGAATGCTATACAAGGCCGAGGTTTAAATTAGGTTTAACGGAACTACTGTGGAAATATTTCTGAAGCCATCTCGGTACTTTCCCTTTTGGAGACGCGGCAGGTCTTTGGTAATGACCCCATACCCATCCTAAAGGAGAGGGGCTACAAGGGAAGGATGCTCCCATTAGGGTTTCAGCTGAATATTACTTTAAAACTTTCTCGGCGAATGATTTTCTAAGCAGAGTTTAAATGTGGCACAAGGCCGAAAGTTTGGAACATCTAGCGAGGATCGAACTCAATACTCAGTCATATTTGATCTTGCAAGACATGCTTCCTAACAAAGACACCAGATCGGAGTGCCCAGCCAATGTGAGAAATGATTCATGATATTATTTCTGATATAATCTTGTAGCGATTATTATCGTATAGAATAGCGTTTCAATAAAAATATACATTTTCTATCAATACTACTTGATGGAAATTGACATATGACAGAGTTAGGGCTTCGTATCATATATATATATATATATATATATATATATATATATATATATATATATATATATATTATATATATATATATATATTGGGGGAGGTATATATGAGTTCGTACAATCACTTAAGGTGAATATAGGCTTGGATGTATGTGTGGTGTAATGGATAATGGCTCAGAATTGTTAATCGGAGAGCCGAGTTTGAATTCCAGTTGGGTTCGTTATATTAACTTATGCGCAAATACCCTTGGGAAAATTAATAATCCATCTCTTCTACCCCCAGCTATGGGTTAATTAGTAAGACCTGTATAACTAAAACCATTATTATCTCTCAGAATAATTCTTATAATGTAAAAATATTTTCTGGCTTTAAGTTACCTGCAAAGTATTGATAAGCCGTAAAAACGAATCAATCAATTTATTCAATTAATTTTTCATTGGTAATGCATTAACTAAAGTGCATTTCAGACATAAAATGAATATATATATATATATATATATATATATATATATATATATATATATATATATATATATATATATATATATATATATATATATATATATATATATGTGTGTGTGTGTGTGTGTGTTTTTCTAAAAGGAAAATTATTTCAAACCTGAGTGGGTTAAATGAAAATAATGTCGAAAGGGAAAAAATTGACGAAACTCGTTTTCCAAAGATAACACTCTGAATATAATATGTCTGAGAATCAACTGCTTTCTAAAATAAAAAAAGCATCAGAGGAAAGGAAATGGTTGCCGTCTTGGGAATTTTATAATCTTTTAATCAGATATGACTATAGACATCTAACGTTTTCGTTTGATCACTAAATATATACTTCTGTTCACTGGAGATAGATGATCCTGAAAACGTAGAAAAAGAAAACAAATATGGAGAGATGATGGGAGCCGCCAAAAACAAATATTTTATTGACTACTCATTTGTTATATAAATTATTAAGTTTTAAAAAAAAAAAAAAAAAACTATCAAAATATGCATTAGCGTCATGTTCTGTCAAATACGTCGCAGAGGAAGGTGATAGCAAGTATGGTTGCATTGTGCAAATAACGAATGCACGTTAAGCAAGCAACATTGTTAGAATATCATTGGAAGTGTTCCAAATACGACGTTTATTTAAAGATCAGAAATAATTATTGTGGAATAAGTTATAATTGGCTCGTGTCCTGCTTTCGTTTTTTCTTCTCTTCTCCTCTCTTCTCTTCTCTTTACTTTTTCTTTTTCTTTTCTTTTTCTTTTTTCTCTTGTCGATTTATAACGTTCTGCTAGTTGTCAGACCAGTACAAGTTGACAACTAATATGAGCAGTTGATGCCGTGAAGTGGCTGACAATTTCGGCGCTTTTCGTGTTGTTTACAAAAATGAGGTGTGGTGGTGGTGGTGGGGGGACAATCATTTAGTACAGAATTTGATTGGAAAACACAAACGATTTTCAAAAGCCAGTTGATTTCACAGTAACTGATTCTTTTGCGAATAAAAATGAAAACTTATTCGATAGTTCGCCCACGATTTTTCCCAGTAGAAGTGTTGATTCTAGAATTTAAAATGTTTTTAAATGCACCTTTTCATTATGGATTATGTGCGTGTATGCGTACGTGTGTGTGTATGCGCGTGTGTGCTCGTATGCTTGCGTGCATGTGTGTGCTTTTGAGTGTGCGTATGCGTGTATATATGCTGGTCTTTACATTCATGCGTTATATATATAGTAAAAAAACTTAGCTGGAAATATGCCTACATCACTCCGCCGGTATATGCGAGTGAGTTGGCACTTGTCAATGCAAGTGTGTATGTGCGTGTGTATTCTTTGTTACTTTTCTCTTGAAAGGTTTTCGATGACGACTGAATTCCTCTGTTTCCATTGAAAAATTCAGTTTAATATTCTTTGCATAAAATACTTAAGCACATACAGTACGCAGCCGTCACACTCCATTTAATAAAGTGAAGATGTGTCCGATAGAGATGAGACGATAAAGAATTTCTTTTTAGTTGTACTGAGTGCCTGGGATTTAAGAAATTAAATTTAAGCTAATGTTTCAGTGTTGAAGCAGCAGAATAAAAGAAAGAAAGAAAGAAAGAAAGAAAGAAAGAAAGGAAATAAAAGAAAGAAAGGAAGAAAAGAAAGAAATGAAAGAAAGAATGAAAGAAAGAAAAGAAAGAAATAAAAGAAAGAAATGAAAGAAAGAAAGGAAGAAAAGAAAAAATGAAAGAAAGAAGAAAGAAAGAAAGAAAGAAAAAGGAAAGAAAGAAAAGGAAGAAATGAAAGAAAGAAGGAAGAAAAAAGGAAGAAATAAAAAATAAAAAAGAAGAAAAGAAAGAAAGAAATGAAAGAAAGGAAGAAAAGAAAGAAATGAAAGAAAGAAGAAAGAAAGAAAGAAAAAAGAAAGAAAGAAAAGAAAGAAATGAAAAAAATAAGAATGAAAAAAGGAAGAAATAAAAGAAAGAAATAAAAGAAAGAAAGAAAGAAAGAAATGAAAGAAAGAAAGAAAAAAGGAAGAAATGAAAGAAAGAAAGAAAGAAAGAAAAAAGAAAGGAAGAAAAGAAATGAAAGAAAGAAGAAAGAAAGAAAGAAAGAAAAAAGAAAGAAAAGAAAGAAATGAAAGAAAGAAGAAAAAAGGAAGAAATAAAAGAAAGGAAGACAAGAAAGTGGAAACGAAATAAAAGAAAGAAAGAAAGAAAGAAAGAAAAGAAAGCGAGAAAGAAAGAAACAAACAAACAAAAAACAAAAGTAAGAAAAGAAAGAAAAAAGAAAGAAAAAAAAGAAAGACAAATAGAAAAGAAAGAAATGAAAGAAAGGAAGTAAGAAAGAAAGAAAGAAAGAAAGAAAGAAAGAAGGAAAGAAAGAAATGAAAGAAAAAAGAAAGAAAAAAAGGAAGAAATAAATGAAATAAAAAAGGAAGAAAAGAAAGAAGAAACGAAATAAAAGAAAGAAAGAAAGAAGGAAAGAAAGAAGGAAAGAAAGAAACAAAGAACAAAAGGAAGAAAGAAAAAAGAAATAAATAAAAGAAAGACAAATAGAAAATAAAGAAAGGAAAGAATGAAAGAAACGTTGCGTGTTATGAGTTTAATATTTTATCTGGCCATATATTTGTCACACATGACGAAACAGATTCATATAGAATTCTCAAATTCAGTACACGTACCCACTTGACCAAATGGAAGATTTAAGCATAAAATAAAAATTCTTCGCGAACTTCAAGGGTGATTTTTATGGCATATCTACCCTTTGGAGGTAATTTACAATCAGAAATATTTTTAGATTGGAAGAAATTTATGGGATGATAATGATTATTAATTAACCCATAGCTGGGGGAGAAGAAGTAAATTCATACCTTTCCCAAGGGTATTTGCGTGTAAGTGAATATAACGAACCCGACTTGAATTGGAACCTGACGCTCCGATATCCAATTCCGAGGCATTAGCCATTACACCAACCGCACATCCAAGCTCAGAGCACCTGGTATTCCATAGCGGTCACCCATCTAAGTACTGACCAGGATCTGACGTTGCTTAACTTCCGTGATCGTATAAGAAGCGGTGTTTCAATGTGATATGGCCGTATCACAAAGAACGGTTGTAAAAAATTTACTTAGGGCAATAAAAGACAGGAAGTTGGGAGGGGCATAATCCCTTCCCCTCGTCCTCCCATCTGCTTCCTGTTACCTTACAGCCTGCAGTAGTGACACATGATTTGAAAATCGCTTGAGGCGTAAAACTGACAGTCACTATGCAGTGTTGATTTCTATATTCACACACACACACACACACATATATATATATATATATATATATATATATATATATATATATATATATATATATATATGTGTGTGTGTGTCCAGTAATTATAGTATCTCAGCTGCCTGTGCCAAACCAGTCAACTGTTACCAAAATCTCATCTACCAAACAGGAATTCTTTATATCTTAATTTTCTTTTAAATGAACACTTCGATAATAAACAATAATTTGTCTCTTTTAAGCGGAACTCCAAATTTCTTGCTCCAGAAGTTCATCCCATAAAGACTGTCATTATTCTTCTACAATGGACAATGAGAAGGCATGAAACCGTGGGAACTGATGTACAGATGTTAGAAAACTAGGATCTCTTGAATAAGACATTAATTTCTTCTTCTTCTTCTTCTTCTTCTTCTTCTTCTTCTTCTTCTTTGTGTCGTGTCCCTTTAAGACATTGGCTGTCAAATTTTCCTTTCCTCTGTAGCTCTTAATAACTTACTAAACTCTGTCTTTTTGTTATCTCTCCTAAACCCAGTGTCGTCATCTATTTATTCAAGCTCACTAGGAAGGTTATGTGTTGTTTTTCACTGTTCTACTTGCCTTCAAGCTGTCCTGTGAGTATTTTTTTAAGCATTTCACCCCAAGCAAGGCGGCAGTACCACTAGTAGGGGATTACAGAGAGTGAACGTGAAGGAAAAGACCGCGTATAGAGGGGGGGATTGAAGAAAAGATAAAAGAAGAACGGGGACCAAGGCAAAAGAAAATGGCGATTGACGTTACATTTAAATTTTTGAAGATTGTAGTTATCAGTGAAGCAAGTAAGAGGAAGGGAGTTCTGCTGTCGGGAAGTACGAAAAAAAAAACTGGGCAGTAAAAGCGGCGGTTGCATTTAACTATTTCAACAGTAAAAGGGTGGAACCTAAATGCCAATCTAGTAGAACGCTTAAATTCATGTAGTCGGTGCATCAGGGAAGTTAGTTCATCATAACAATTGCTATGTATCAACTTTTTCCTCGTTTTGTGCCCTAAAAATTTCAGCTGTCACCTTCTGATAAGTATCTTTTTTGTTTATATCATTTAAAAACTTCATCGTTGCTCACATGTCTGGTTCAAGGTATTGTTAGCATCCTTCTGTAGAATTGCATTTCAGTTGCTTCAAGTTTTTCTTCATCTGCGAGGAAATTGTTCAGCATTCATCGCCATCAAAGGAGGACAGATGTGGTGGCTTTTAAGCCTTGCATTGGGTGAACTATCGTATAAAACAAATTAAAACTCTTTTCTCAGTGCCTAACAACGATACAAACATTTTGATGCTTTTTGTAATTCTAACGTTGAAGAGCTCCCTAAAAGATTATTTGAAAACGCGGAAAGATTCCTTGCTTGCGTCAGAAGAAAAAGCATTCTTACTTTGAGCAAAACTGGTTGATGAGTGAACTCCTCTGAGAAAAAAATTGAACTTTCAGTATAATAATGAGAGTTACTATTCTGTAAGGACAAGGTTAGTTGATTTTTTTAGCGACATAACAACAGCTACGGGTTCTTTAATGCTGAAATCTAAATATTTTGAATGCAATTTTATGCCTTCAACTAAGTATATTTTCAACGCAATTGCATGCCTACGTAGTGTTGGTCATTTTACTATAAAAATGTATTATTAGTAATTTTACTATAATATGTATTGTTGACAATTATTTTATATAAAGTATTGTTGGTATTTTTATTTTATCCTTTCATAGTGTTTTTTTTTGGGGGGGGGTCACTTTTTGCCCATAGCTGGGACCCTAACAGATGCTACCACCCATTTCAGGGTGGACCTGGAAACAGCAGCAATTAAGAGGTTGTCTCACGTTCCTCAAAAGCTTCACTCTCCCGTTCAAAGGCCTTGCTACCAGATGTAGTTTATCGTCATACCCTAGACTAGCAAAGGCAAGATTTAAGTTTTATTTTGTTTTACGGCATATCAACATCTCAATGGGTTATTTAATGCTGACAAGATTTTTAGGATAGGCTCGTGTAATTAGAATGTGTATTCTTTGTAAGAAATCATTTTGTAGATAAGGTTTCAGTGACATATTTTTGTGAAGAGGGATTTTTGCCGAGAATCAAATGTATTGCTGTCAATAATTTATTTTCTCAAAAATAATTTATTTCTTTTCAAAAATATATTGCTTGTAATTTTTTCCAAAACTTTATTGCTTGTAATAATTTTTCAAAAATATATTGCTGGTAATAACTAATTTCCCATAGCTGGGACCCTAACAGGTGTTACCACCCCAGGTCAGGGTGGACTTGAGAACAACAGCAATTGAGAGGTGGTGCCACATTCCTCAAAGACTCCCAATCAGAGGACTTGCTGCTGGGTGTAATTTATCGTAATACTCAGGACGCCTCATTATTGGGGGGGCAGTTTTTCCCTTCTGCAGAGGTTAAGTCTGTGTGTGAAGCCCCAGCCGACTGGGTGTAGCAAGGACAATATATAGGAAACAGAAAATAAAAATAAATAAACACTGAAAATCTGTACTCATTGAAATATATTCCGTTCAATATACATCCTTTTGCAAATAGTCAAGACAATAGTGTCTGGGTGTGATGAAAATCGGATGCAATCATGGATTACGCAATATTTTTCAAGGCCAAACAACTTTCTTCATACACCCCTAAAACAGATTCATATTACTGCACACCACTGAAAACGACCTAATCTGAGGAAAAAATAGAAATCGATTACACACTGTCACTCCAGTGGGTCTAAAACTGAGCGTATGGTGAAAGAAAGGAAACTAAAGCAGTTGTTTCAATTAATTTGCACAAGGGTGTATATATAATGCTTTTATAATTTTTCGACATAGTGTAAAATGTTATTACAGGATGAGGCAGAAATACCTCTCATACATACCTCCTAGAAATACCTATCACATAATAAGACATTAGTTAGATGAAGACATCATTTTAACTAATGTTTTACCATTATATGGGAGATATTTCTAGCAGGTATATAAGATAGGCATTGCTGTCTCTTATTTAAGAAGTCTTTATAAAAATATAATTTGCATTGGATTTTACAAGCAAATTTCATTAATTGATCAAATAGTTTGCTCACACCTACATATATTGCTTTACAAACGTAGGACCTAACCCAGAAAAACCTTTGATAATATTTTGATCATCTCCGTGGACAAGGCCTTGTGCCATATTTACTCTTGACAAGCAAATAATAACCTTTTTATGTCTGTGTTTTTCAAGAAACAAGGAAATGCTGAAAAGTTCTCGGCTCGATCTACTTTTAAAATCGTTATTTTGCTTGTTTTAGTGATTTAACTATAAATTGTCTATTTTAAAATCAGATTTAAAGCATTACATGATAAAATAGTGGCTTTAACATAAAAGAAAACTGGCTGATATATTATGATTTGACGCTTATATCCAATGGATATTGTCAGATTTTAACTCAGAGATTATAAAAAATATATGCATTATAATTGCTTTATTCTAATCAGTAGGTTGGTTTGTAGAATATGTTACTGAATGAAGATTCATATATTGCTTTACTCAACCCAGTTCATCAGAAGTACGTTTAAGTAAACCTATTTGTACGTCTTTTCACCTGAAAAGGTCACAAGACTTTACATCCTTTCGTGACAAAGCAAAGAAACCTTACCAACCGGTAAAAGTTTGAGGATCAGGTTCCGAAATTTGATTGCGTGGAAATACACGGCACTAAACAACAATGGATTAAGTTTACACTATTGTGCAAATCATCCTTTAGACGTTAAGTATTTCAACTTTTCTAAAAACCCAACACCATCGCCTGATCAGTAGCGAACAAAGTCAAGAATGTCGGCTGATATCTATCTACCTTGGGAAGAATTATAAAAATTTGATAGAGAGAAAAAAAAACCCCCAAAAAACAAACAAACAAACAAAAAAAACAACCTGACTTAACAAAAATCGCCTAATTTGATTTGTCACCAACAGAGTTTGCTTTTTAGCGGCATATCAACACCTTATGGGTCATTTAATGTTGAAATTTAATTTTTCTTCGGAACGTTAGTAATTTTTTTAACAAAAAAAAATTGCTTGTATTTTTACTATAAAAATGTATTTTTTTAATTTTCACAATGTTTTGACCCCAGTTTGGGTTTAACTATTTACTCATGGCTGAGGGGCTAACAGGTGCTAGTACCCCGCGTCAGGGTGGACCTGGGAACAACAGCAGTTAAGAGGCGGCTACATGTTCCCCAAAGCGTCCCAATCAGAGGACATGCTGCCGGATGTAGTTTATCGTCATACCCAGGACGATCACCTAGAGAGATACTGACGATTGTCAACATACAGTATAATAGTAAAGAATATTTAACATTCTTTACATTCTGGAGTATTAAAACTCTGCAAAAATAAATAAATCAACCTTGGTCCTCAAATCGCTTTTTTGTGTCCAATGTTGTAAATAAGATCTCTCTGTCACGCTATATGTTACCAGAGTCGAACAGCGGGTAATGTCATCTAGAGCTTGTAGGGACTTTAAACTATTAATGCTCCCTGGCCTATTTTTAGGACAGTAACCATCAATGGTTTATAGGTCCAAATCCAAATCCAAGCCCTTCTCACGCCTGTTGGAGAAGCCCCTATATGGTTGAGCATGTCTTGGCCAATTGCGTGTTGGTGAGACTATTTAACCCATAGTTGGGGGTGGATGTCCGTTGATTCTGAGCAGTTCATTCGTCCTTTAACAGCTCTTATTTTTTTGTGCTGCTGAAGTTCCACTTCATCCTTCCTCGCCACACCAGCTTTTGAATTCAGAGTTGTCCTTTTCCTAGACTAGTTGC